TATCTTGTCACTCCAAGAAAATAAACAGGTTAATTTTATCTTCTGGTTCTCATGCAATAGCACAGTGCCCCAATATTTGCCTTTAAAACACTGGAGAGGACTGTTTAAATTCAAACAAAACATTCACTGGCATAAATATAATCATGAAAATATTTTAATTAATATTATAAACACACACAACTTACAGACCTCAATCCTGTACTGAGAACTGAATTGTCAATGAGACTCGAGGTCTGTTGCATGGATTGGTTCCTGAGTAAGAGTTGTTATGGTGCGGTGTGTGGTTGCTGGTGAGAATATGCTTAAGGTTGGCGGGTTGTCTGTGGGCGAGGACTGGCCTGCCTCCCAAGGTCTGTGAAAGCGAGGGATCATTGTCCAGGATGGGTTGTAGATCACTGATGATCCATGCAACAAACCTCGATACCAACTCTGCCCACATATCTACACCAGCGACACCATCACAGGACCTAACCAGATCAGCTACAAAATCACCGGTTCATTCACTTGCATGTCCACCAATGTTATATATGCCATCATGTGCCAGCAATGCCCCTCTGCTATGTACATCGGCCAAACTGGACAGTCCCTACGTAAAAGGATAAATGGACACAAGTCAGATATTAGGAATAGTAATATACAAAAACCTGTAGGAGAACACTTCAACCTCCCTGGCCACACAATAGCAGATGTAAAGGTAGCCATCTTACAGCAAAAAAACGTCAGGGCCAAACTTCAAAAGAGAAACTGCTGAGCTTCAGTTCATTTGCAAATTTGACACCATCAGATCAGGAGTAAACAAAGACTGTGAATGGCTAGCCAACTACAGAAGCAGTTTCTCCTACCTTGGTGTTCACACCTCAACTGCTAGAAGAGGGTTTCACCCTCCCTGATTGAACTAACCTCGTTATCTCCAGACTGATTCTTGCCTGCATATTTATACTTGCCTCTGGAAATTTCCATGACATGCGTCTGACAAAGTGGGCATTCACCCACGAAAGCTTATGCTCCAATACATCTGTTAGTCTTTAAGGTGCCACAGGACTCTTTGTTGCTTTTTAGTGAATTATTATTATAAGCATAGTAAATATTTAAAAAAAATAACTTGTTTAATACTGGGGAGGGCATGAAGAAACTTTGTCAATATCACTTTTCACAGCAGACTTAATGCCTCATTGCCACCCTTACTTCTGTGCTGCTGGCGGCGGGGCAGCTCTGAAAGCAGCACCGCTGCCAGCAGCAGAGCAGACGGGTGGCAACGGGGCACTATGTCTGCTGTGAAAAGTGATATTTGTATGTTTGTTAATCACTTTTCACAGCTTTCCAGCCCTGAAGGCAACACCACGTCCAGCAGTAGCGCGCTGCCTTCAAAGTTAGGTGGCTGGAGAGCAGCAGCAGCGGCTGCTGGCTGGGTGCCTAGCTCTGACGGCAGCAACGCAGAACTGAAGGTGGCAATGCCATATCATGCCACCCTTACTTCTGCATTACATTTGACTTTTTCGCTGCGAGGGATGGCTTGGGGGGGCAGGGGCAGGGCTAAGGAAAATTGTGATGAGTTTAGCCCCCCAAGTCCCCCTAGCTCCACCTCTGCCTATGTGTCTGACTGTTCAATTATAAATTACTTTTTATTGGTCAGTCTCAGTGTTCTGAGTGGTCTGTGGTTTAATGCAGCTCTTCAGCGCTGAACAATCAAGCCCTCTAATGTTATCTCAGTCCCACCTTTTTCGTCTCAAGACATTAAGCTGCGCGCACAATACTACAATCCCCATAGTCCAATTTCCTTAAAGTAGTGATAATACAAATATATATTTTGTTTAGAAACAATGATTGCTGCATTATATGTTTACAATACTTTTTGAAATACACTATATTGTGACGGAAAGGTGTAATTTTCCAAAATACTAGATTTAAATGATACATTTTATATCTTAATCTTCTCTTTGTTAAGCTAAACAGATAGACTCAAGGAGCTCACTCACTAAAAGGTATGTTTTCTAATTCTTTAATCATTCTTGTGGCTATTCTCTGAACCTTCACCAATTTTTCACTATCCTTCTTGAATTGTGGACACCAGAAGTGGGCACTGTATTCCAGCAGCGGTCACACCTCCTGGGGGGATTCTGCACCACTGCACACATGCATATTTCATGTGCTGTGCATATTTTTAATTCCCCCCCCCCCCACCACACACAGAAAATAGCTACTGCTGAAAAGTTGCTGCAGTTCTGCCTTTTGCCTATTAGTGGGCACATTGGTACTAGAACACTGCAGCCACTCCTGGTAAGCCCCAGCCAGGATAGGTAAGAGAGAGAGCCTGCCTTCTTCACAGAGCTGGTCAGGAGACAGGGGATAAGGGGACACAGACAGCGTGGGGGGTCAGAAAGGGGCTCATAAACGCTAGTGGGGAAGGACAGACTGGGGCAGGGGCTGAGTGGGAGTGGAAGCACAAGGCCACATGGGCAGAGCGGGAGAGGGGGCAGAGCTATAAGGGAGAAGGGGACAGCTGAGTGGCGGCACAGAGACAAATGGGACAGGGGGTGCATTGATACATGGAGATGAGGGGAGGGGGCTGGCGGAGGGGATGCAGGGAGACATTAACGGGGGGGTGCAGGGCAACGGGGGGAAGGATGATGGCTGAGTAGGGGCACAGAGACACCTGGGGACAGGGGCAGATGTGCCTGACTGAATGCGAGAGGCTAGGGGTCAGCCAGGGTCTGCATGGGGATGCTCCCTAACAATCCCTCCCTGCCACCCCCAAAAATACCTGTTCCATACTTTTCCCACGCATACCCAATAACCCTTCAAGTTCATACCCAGGCTCCTTTTCAGGAATTACTTCCTTCTCCCTCAGCTTCTCCAGTACCCCTGAATCCCCCAAGCCTTTACACTCTGAGCGATGTGGGAAATACAGTTCTGTACTGAAGTTTAAATTAATTATTACACAGAGTTCTGTATTAATATGCCTAGTAAGGAATCTATTTGTCAAAAAACTTTTCCTGAAACTTTTTTGTTAGATGTATTGTTAGACATATTAGCTGACAGTTATTTTGAAATAAATTACCAAAATAATTGAAACTGGTGTGATTATATTGTGTTATTTTGACAAAATATGCAGAATTTTAAAATATTGTGTGCAGAATTTTACATTTTTTGGTGCAGAATTCCTCCCAGGAGTTATAATCTCTCTACTCCTACTCGGGATTCCCCTTTTTGCATCCAAGGACTGCAGTAAGCCTTTTGGCTATGGCATCACATTAGAGTTCATGTTCAGCTGAGTATCCACCACTCCCCCAAATCTTTTTCAGAGTCACTGTTTCCCAGGATAAGCTCCCCCATCCTATAAGTATGGCCTGCTCTGTGTGTGTGTGTGGCCATATTCAAATGCATATTGTTTGCTTGTGCCCAGCTTACCAGGTGATCCAGATTGCTATGTATCAGTGGCAGCCCGGACCCTGGCCACTCACAGGGCTGGCCAGCTGCCTGCCTCGGACCCCCACACCTGGGTGGGCTGGCCTTTGGGACACAGCTGTGGCACAGCTCAGCTGTGTGCTAACTGGGCCGTGGGTTGAGAACCACTGTATTAATGGAATGGAAAGTGCTATCTTATGATATGACTACATATGTTTTTTCCCAGCTATAGAACAGAAATATTATGGAACACAATTATTATTGATAATTTTACCATTTCTATCTAGTAATGGACTAATACTGTTGTTGGGAATCTTTGTTCCTAATATACTTTAAAAACTCCTTATTGTCCTTAACTCTGCTGGCCATAGATTTCTCTTTGAGTCCCTTTGCTTTCCTTATCAATTTTTCTAGTTCCTAGTTTCTGATTTAGATTGATTACTATCAACCTCCCCTTTCTTCCATTTGTTTATTCTTATATATAAAATAACATTTGTTTTATAGCAGCCTTCACTCCTCTGCTACACCAGATTGGGTTTTTTAACCAATATGGCCTTCTTCCTCAATTGTAACTAGTAAAGTATTCTTAACCAATCACTCATTTTTTCTGATTAGCTAGGAGGAAGAATTTAATCTGGCTCATAATTGTTTTCAACATTGTGAAATTAGTCCTTCCAAAGCATCAGGTATATGACACTATTGTGGACTTCATTCTATTTAACACTTAAACTGCTGTACATTTTAGTTCTTTGATGTTTTTCTTTTTCCAGAAAAAAAAATTGTTTTTTAACCTAGAAATATAAGGAATGTTAACTGTTGTCTTCCCTGATCTTCTTGGGGACATCCCGTATGACTCAAATGTGGTTTAGCAGCTCAGCCTTTCATTAGGTTGTAAACTGTTTGGGCCAAGGATCATCTGCTTGGTATTTGGTTTATAGTGCCCAACTGGGATACTACCCTCATACTACTAATCATGAAGTGTTAAAATCTTAACAAAACCAGGTTTCCAGAGTTGGAGTCATAGGAACAAACAGAAAACAAAGTTTTAAACAGCCCCGTGTCAATCTCTTCCTTTCTCTACGGCTGAGGTTTCAGTTCTATGGACTCTGATGTCACAAACCCCTTGAGACGGGCTGCCAGGGCGCTCAACAGCGGCAGGTCTCTCAGGGAGGGAACCTACCCTTAGAAGAAACAACCTCCCTGCCCAGGCAGCTTCACGCATCGGCCTAGGCAGGTCGGTCGCCTGTGCTGCTTGTCTTTACAACGGACTCCCAGGTAGTCTCCCCCTGCCCTGCAGGGAGTGAAGGGTCTTGCGTGCCCTTTCCCCCTCATTAATGGGGTCTATCCCCCTGCCTACCCCGCAGTGAGTGAGAAGACCTGGGGCTAGCCCCCTACCCCACACCACGGGGGCCTCTGTCCCAGCGACCGAGAGTGAATGTCCCCCGCCTCCCGCTGAGACGCGGATACAGCCCGTCCCGCTCTGAAGCGGGACTCTCACTCTGAGCATCTCTCTGCCCGTTTGAGCTCTCCCGCTCTCTCGTGCCCGCGCTCCCAGGGCCCGCGCCGCGCGCCCCCTGCCCCGGGCGGCGCTGTGCCCGCGCCCCTGCGCGATGCAGTGTGGGAATGGCTGTGGCGCTGGGGTTGGCTGAAAGAGGCGGCCAGTCGAGGTTTAATGTCCGCCATGTTGGCCGTGGCGTATTGAGCGGAGCCGGAGCGGCAGAGAAGAGAAGCCAGCGCCCAGCCCAGCCGCGCCAGCGGGCGCCGCCGGGCCCCGCATCGGAGTGCGCCCCGCCCCGCTGGGGGAGCCCCGGTCCCTCCATGAGAGCGCTCGGCGGGGTCCGGCTCTCAGCTCGGAGCGCTCTCACTGCCGCCCCCCCCTCCCCAGTCGGAGCCGCCATCGCTGCCTAACATGAGCAAACTGTCGTTCCGGGCCCGGGCGCTGGACGCGTCCAAGCCGCTGCCCGTCTTCCGCTGCGAGGACCTGCCCGACCTGGCCGAATATGCCTCCATCAACCGGGCCGTGCCGCAGATGCCCACGGGCATGGAGAAGGAAGAGGAGTCGGTACGTGAGACCCCCCCCCGGCCGGGTCCCTCCATCCCCCCGCACCCGACCCGGGGCCCCCACCTTCGCCTCTGCGCAAGCACAAAATGGCCGCCATCTTCTCCCCGCTCTCCCCGCCCGCGGGGAGGGGGGATCGGAGAGGGAGGGTGCCGAGCCCAAATGATCCCCCTCGTCCCATACCAAGTCTTCCCCGTGGACCCTGCCACCCCGAACCCGCCCGCCGCGGCGGCTGGCAGGGCCATTCCCAGCCCTCGGAAGGCACAAAGGGGTCACGTGACGCAGCGGCCGGCCGCCATTTTGTTGTCTCTGGTTCTTGGGCTGGGCCTTGTGCGGCAGCGCGAGCTGGTGCCTGGGGAGGCTGCAGTGCTCTCCCGCTGCCACCGGGTGGCGTTGTCGAGTTATATGCTCCGGTAGTGGGAGCGCGGCATAAGCTATGGGTGTTGTGAGGAAGCTGTGGCTGTGCACGTGGTGGGTCTGTTCTCCTGCAAGTGCCAGGACACGGCTGAGATAATGGCAGAGCAGCCCACCTAGGACTTCTGTGCGGCTTGATTGTACCTATGGTCTCAGGAGCGTGATCAGCGCCGTGTACCCTCAGTGAAGGTTGCAGCCAGGCTTATACCTCTGTCTATGGGCTATAGTGAGTCACTGGAGGAGACGGCACGTGCTATTACAGACGCCCGCTTTTAATATAAACTTGATATAAATTACTGACTTCCATGTAACTTTCATTCCTGAATACGCTGTGAGCTCATTGAAGGGCAGGGGGGACACAAGCATAAGACTGCAAGGTAGTGAGTTTTGGGGGTTACAAGTCTGCTCCTTGCTACTCGGATCTTTGTTGTAAGAAGGGTTTTCAGTCTAATGACAACTTCCCTTTAACAAGTTACATAAAAATAAGAATTTTTTGTCAGGTTTATGTCAATACTGGCACATGATGTGTAATCACAGAAATGCCTTCAAGCACATGGTGAACAGGAATAGTTCATGCACGAATCAGATAAAAGGAATAGCGGTTGTTACAATTCAGACACACAGGCTGCTGCTTTTTTTTTTTTTACAAAATTGTTAAAGATAATATAAAAATCTGAGTTTGGAAGTTTAAATCTCCCACTTTCTGCTTCTTTCTACTGTTTTACTGAAGATTTACATTTTCAGTGGAAGACAGTCACTTCAAGCCCCTTTGCTTAAAGGGTTGTCAGCTTAAAAGTTGTTTGAAAACAGTTTATCTGACATTGTAACAATGTAGCAATGCTATACCTGAAGAGACTGTGGGATGGTAATCTCTTTTTTCAGTTTTAGTTTGGGCACATGACAGCTCTTGTCACTCATTGTTTTCCTAGCATAGTGTGTTCTTCCCTGTTTCTATAGGGGTTTTGTACAGCAGTAGAAAAGAGAACATGTTTAAAAATGTGACCTTTAAAACCACAAATATTGGTAAAGGGAGGAAAGTTAGGGAGCAGTCTGGCACTTACCTTATGCTAATTTTTTTTTTTTTAATTTACTAGATTTCAAGTTGATAGTACCGTAAGTGGTTGGGTTAAGACAGTTAAGCTCCTTTCTGCATTCCTGTAGATACTAAAAGTGAAGTTTGTTACATTTCTCTAAACCTAAGGAATGCATCCCTTGGTTTTCAGGTACAGCCTTCTACACATGGTACAGTATACAGACAATTTTAAAAACCATGTGGAATTTCATGCAACAATTTTGTATTAGATAATTTCTGGATGGATTAGGAAATATCAATCTGTGTCCTGTATTGTTTGTGTTGTAAATCTTCTTTTAAGTTGTATTTTGGAGTTTGAGGATTTATACTATACTTATGTATCATATCGAGAACTTGTACAAACATTAACTACTGTAATTATTTTATTCAACAAACATGTTTTGCTGAACTGTAATAAACGTGACTTTTTTTGAGACTAGATGACTCAAAATTGAGTTGAATGAGATTAACTTTTGTCCAATAAGAATGTTTAGATACTGTAGGTTGGTACAGTACAGAGAGACCTGTTTGAATAAAAACTTTTCATTTTTTGAAACAGTTTTGTTATGCCTAACATCTGTATTTTAATTAAAAGTAATATATTACCAGATAACTTTTGTCTTTGTTTTATTTCTGCTATAGGCTTTGTAGAGGTGAGTCTTTTGGGGTGAAAACTATACCAGCATGAGTAGCCCTTTCTTTCTAGCTAAGGCGAGGTTGATAGTCACTGTCACAGGTTTTGGGCAAAGAAGAGGGTTTACTAATATGAAAAATCTAAGCATAATCACTTAATCAGATTTTTTGCAAATAAAGCTTTAAAAACAAATGTGACTAACAAAATAAATAGCTAGCCAGACAACTGTAACTCAAGTTAAATTTGCTTATATCTTTTTTTTCTCTGATAAAGTAACAAATCAAAGAATATTCACTTGCCAATGGAAAACTCTTGTATCTTGCATCCGAAGAAGTGAGGATTTTACTCACGAAAGCTTATGCCCAAATTAATCTGTTAGTCTTTAAGGTGCCACCAGACTCCTTGTTGTTCTTGTATCTTGTTGAACCCATCTAAAATTACTTCAGAAATTGTATAACATCCTAGTTAGTGTCAAACACTTTCTTCTTAAATTACTATGCTTGGATTTGCTACTCAGTTTTTTTTCTGTAGCCATTTTTCTCCCTTCCAGAATGTGTTTGGTGTTCAATATAAGGAAACGTGGGCGATGGCAATTAAATCAGATTAATGGACTGCTCCATTAGTTCTCCAAATGTCCTGTAATACTTTTTTTGTGGGGACGGGAGTAGGAGTTAACCTATGTAGTAATAGGTCAGCTAACTTAGTGTATATTCTGTGATGCTGTGTGAATGCAATTAATGGTTCAAATGTCTACTTCTTTAGACTACAAAAGAGGACATAGTTCAATAGTGACTTTTTTTTTAAGACACTTTCTTTACAATAAACTACTGTGATCAGGCACCTATAGCAGCCTGCTAATAGTGTTTAAATAGGTTTCAGAGTAGCAGCCATGTTAGTCTGTATCCCCCAAAAGAACAGGAGTACTTGTGGCACCTTAGAGACTAACACATTTATTTGAGCATTAGCTTTAGTGGGCTACAGCCCACTTCTTCGGATGCATAGAATGGAACATATATTGAGGAGCTATATATACACATAAAGAGTTGTTTAAATACAACTTCAAGTTTTACATAACATCAAGTATGTATTCATTTAAAGTTAGATTTAAAAGAGCTATCCTTGGACTAAGTATCTTGCCATGAGATTAAACTACTACTTTAGCATTGTGTATAAAAGGATGCATATTTTGCTTCCACTTCATCGCATCTTTCTACCCCTCCCCTTCCCAAGAAGAACCAGTACAGAAAATAACATAGCTTTAGTAGTAGAAATAGAATCTTCAGATGAGTAAAAATACTAACAGCATGAGGCCAGACCTTACTGAACTTCTTGTATCTGAGTCTAAAACACCCCTTTTCCCAGATGTTTTAGCTATCCTTTAAAACAAAAATTGGCAGCCAAAGGTCTTTAAGAAGATGTTAATCCAGTTACCTAGTATTACATTTCTTCTGTCTACTAAGACAAGACTTCAGATGAGATGTTGGTTCTGTTGAGAGGTAAAGGTCTTAAGTAGAAAGCTCTTTGTGTTACATAATACCAGCAGATAAATAACATTTGAAGTAGTCCTCATGGTTGGCTTAGTTTAGGCCCCAATTTCCCATGCTGCTCAGAAATTGGAATCTCATTGCTAAGCAAATTATCAAGTTCCTTAACCTAAGGAAATTCCCAGGAAGGGGAGTGCAAATCTTCATTAAGATAATAAATAAATTGCTGGTTTTTAAAAGTTCAAACTTTGGAAGTTTGGACTTCTAAAAATTACCAGTTATGTTCACCCATACCACACTAAATTATCATACAGCCAAAAAACCTAGAAAACATCCTGTTCTCAAATAAAACACAATTTTATTGCATTAGTGATTGGAAACAGACAACTGACCTAAGTGGATATATAGTGTAGTTAATATTGCAAGAATAATACAAAAAGCAGTAACATCAAAGTACTGTCTAAGTTGTTACAGGAAACTTCTTTTTTAAGTTGCCTACAGAAAGCGGGGGGGCGGAGAGGGGAGAGGTTTTTTTTTTTCCTTTGCTTTATCATCAGTAAAGGTCTGGAAGATGGGTGTGGTGTGTGTGGGGTTTTTTTTAATAATAAGAATGCTGGTTTTAAAATTAGAAATTCAGATCCTGACTCAACTTGTGTTCTAGCTTAGAACTAGTGCAATAGTAACACTATGAGCTGAGAGAAGTTATGCTATTGAATGGATTTTTGGACTACCAAACATTTTTAGCACCTGTGTAACTTCACTAACACTTCGGAAAAGAGAGCCTTTTAAGATTCAAAACCCTCAAACATCCTGGACTTAAAGGTCAACCAGTCAAAATAGGGAAGATTGGATTTGACTTTCTTAGCCTGTCTAAACAAGAAAAATATCTTTATCACGACAAACTTTCAGATAATTTTCTTATGCCATAAAGTGGCATTAGAACTTCTTAAATGTTTTGCAGGTGAGCTTTAAATACATACACAGCTGCTGAGATGTAAAAAATGTTTTTTCTCCCTTGCCAAAAGTAACCATATTCAGGACAATTCCCCAGAAGAGGTGCAGGGTTTAAATGTACCTAGTGATGTGAGACTCTGTGTAAACACTGTTAATGTATCTTGTTCAAGAAACAAACAAACAAAAAACCCAACAACCTCATACACAACAGAAATTTTTTAAGATCTGACCACAAAACTAGCTTGTCTAGGAGGCAGGGCCATATGTACCACAAACATGTACGAAGAAAAATCAAAGCTGTGTGCTTGAAGTTTTTTTTGTTCTTATGCTACCTATATTGTATTTTAAAGTGAAACATTAGTCTTGTCTAAACTAGAATGTTTTAGTGATTACATGTACAAGTATAGTTAAGCAGCCATTCCTCTGCAGTTACACTTGTATAGTT